GGGCAGAGGTCTGTTGTCTGTTCCAGAGTCTCGACTGAAAACTAAAGGGACAGAGCGTTGCTGTCAGGGCCCCGAGGCTCTGGAACAGCCTGCCCGAGGAAATAGGTCGGCTGAGTCAGTGAACTCTTTTAAGTCCTTCTTAAAACATACTTTTATAGGAGAGCTTTTCCCGATCTTATTTGACTTTATTTTATCCCTTTTATTATTGATTTTACTAATTTTATATTAAATTTTCATGCTCTTATCTTTTTTTTGTATTATTCTTTACACTTGTTAAAGCACTTTGTAACTTGTTTTTGAAAAGTGCTCTACAAATAAGGATTATTATTATTATTACTTTGTGTTGAGGCATCACTATGTTTCAGGTCAACATGCAGCCAAAAGTATGGAAGATTTTATTGGACTTTAATATTTGTAACCCACAGAAAACAATCCACAAATGTGTACTATGATGAGCAAATATTTCACAATATCTACAAATATGTATTTTTACATTTGTGCTGCGTAAAATCATATCCACAAAAACACAGCGTTACTTCTACACACAAAACAGTTTTTGCACATTTGCAGATTGCTCTCTGCCAATTTGTGGGTCATGTTACATTTGTAACTTCCTTTTTACACATTTGTGGAATTTTGTCCAATGTGTATGTGATCAAATGGTGACCTGTTTTGAGCCTTTACCTTTCTTTTCCCCTGTGAATATTGAAACAGGGAATAATATTTATTTGGTTTATGATTGCATTGCTTTTTGTCAATATTTCCCTGTGCTAAGTTCCTACATTGTAAATGTATTATTTATGTTACATTATTTATGAAATATGTGTGTTACACCCTCTACATACAGCACTGAGACGGTGAACGACGGGCAGTTTCACACTGTAGAGCTTGTGACGTTTAATCATATGGTGAACCTGTCTGTGGACGGAGGAGAGCCGACAACTCTGGACAGTCAGGGCCGGAGCCAGCTGGTGACGGGGGAGGCGCCTCTTTACGTTGGAGGTAAGAGCAGAGAGGCAGCAGAGGGTAAACACTCCTAAACTCCTAAAAATCTTTCTATTCATGGACCAGAAGTTTATAGAAAAAATATATTACCCAAGATTGATTTCTGTCTAACGGTCTCTCTCTTCAGGTATGCCTGAGGAGGTGATGCCCGCCTCTCTGGGTCTCTCGTCTCAGACCCTCAACACGTCTAGTTTCCATGGCTGCATCAGGAACCTCTACATCAACCACGAGTTGCAGGACTTTACCCGCAGCCACATGAAGCCGGGGGTGGTGCCCGGCTGTCAGGCCTGCCGCAAACTCTACTGTCTGCATGGCATCTGCCAGCCCAACGCTGCTCAGGTAGGAGCCAACTTACAACAGCCTGCTTCATTTCTGATCTTAAATGTATACTTAATGTATACTTTTTGATACGTTCTACAGTCAGTACTGACTTCTCAGAGAAAAACTGTACATTCTCGCATCTTTAAGAGGCACTATGCTGCAGGTTTTCAGCTCTCCAAGACTACGCTTATGTTTTCTGATATTAATGACTCCGTTAACCAGTTTTACAAATGGTGCTCCTTAGCTCTTGATACTATTGCTCCAAATAAGACCAGCTGTCAATCTGTCCCCTCGGATAAATGATTTTTTTTGATGCCATAGAAGAAATTAAAGAAAGGTTGAGCTGTGGATGGAAAACTACTTTCACATGAAGGAGCTACTAATTGTGCACAATCAACTCATGAGAGCAGCATATTTCTCTGGTCTGAACAGTAACAAGCATAACCCAAGGTTTTCGTTCAACACAGTGCTATATATATAAATGATTATATTATTCTTCTCTTGAAATGTTGTTGCAAAAGTAGGAAAAGTTTAAGGGCCACACAGTAAAGGAGACAGAGAAGGAGAAGGGTAATTGTTTAACAAAAATGTATCTTTTTATTAGTTATTCAGGTATAAACATTTATTGTGATTTTTGTTTTCACAGATAATGGATTAAGTGAACTAGTAAACATCTTGTCTTTCACAGGGTCCCCAGTGTCACTGCCAGACAGGTTGGACAGGACAACACTGTGACCAGCCAATAACAGGAGGCCTTACTGGAACGGATGTTGTCACCACAGCAACTGGTGTCAACCCGTGTGAAGGCAACAAGTGAGTGCAGTTTGTTCAGATGTTGTATAAATCACACACCTTACTTTGAAATGTGTCCTCTTTCTAAACATTGTTCCTTATTAAATTCATTTATAATTTAAATTTTAATTTAAAGTGTTAATGTAATAAAAAAAGATGATAATCAATTTTGATTTGTCCTTTGTGTTGAGTCCATTCTCTTAATCTCCCCCTGCTTTCATTCTGTTTCAATCCAGGTGTGTGAAGGGTGTGTGTGTGGCACTGGACGCTAAGACGTACCGCTGCGACTGTGAGGAGGGATATCGCGGTGCGTTGTGTAACCTGCAGGGGGAGTCAGCTGGTTCGTGCCAGGGTCTACATTGTTTGCATGGCCAGTGTCAGAAGACAGAGGATGGAGAGCATTGCGTCTGTGAGCAGGGATACACCGGAGAGAGCTGTGATATAGGTGAGGAAGGACGAGGGATAAGGGTGGGACCAGCTTTTATTCTCAATTGCAAACTAATGACCATGTGACATAAATGTTTTTAGAGATGCTCAATGTCAGATTAGGTGATGGTGGTGCTTTAAACATGTTACACTACATGTTAAACCCCCACCAATTGTTGCTTGAGGCCTTTCAGAATCAGCATGAAGCGTAAAGGTGATCTGGCATCCAAATCCATCCATGCAGTCCATCACTATATAAGCAAAGATAACCAAATTTCATTTTGAACCAAAAAACTCACCATTGCTTATTAAAACAACAAAAAACTAAGTTTTTTTAATGTTTCTTTAGTAAAATATAGCCTGTTTCATAGTGAAAACCCCCTCGTATGAGTAATGTTTGTTGTACGCAACATCAAAACATCATAAGCAGGCCATGTCTGGAGACAGAGAGAGAGAGCATTCATTGACATGAGTAAAGCAGATTTGTGGAGGGCCTTTCTGTGGGCAGGCCTGATTCTGAATAATCCACAGACCTCAGTGTCATTTTTAAGAACTGTTGGCTTTGGTAAAATGTAGTTCCAATGAAAGTTTTAAAGTCCAATTGTCTTGTTTTTTGTTTGGTTGAGGTTGGTCCAGGTCTGGTTATCTCTTAATCCTCCCTGTGTGTCCCCATCCACAGAGTCCCCGTGTCGAGGTGAGCCGGTGAGAGATTACCACCGGCTGCAGCACGGGTCCGTCCTCTGCCAGACATCCAAGCCTTTCTCCTGGGTTGAATGTCAGGGTCGGTGCCAGGCGGGAACCGAGCCGACTGCCACCGTCGCTTCCTGCTGCGCTCCTCTGAGGGTACGACGTCGGCGTCTCACCTTCGAATGCGACGATGGAACCTCATTTACGCAGGACGTGGAGAAGCCTGTGGAATGTGGCTGCAAGGAGTGTGTGTAGTACTGTGGAAGTAATGGTGCGCACATACACACATGCAGACACACACACGTCCAAGCACAACACACACACACACACACACACACACCAAGGTAAAGAGGTTCACACACTGTAGGGATTCTGTCACTGATAAATGGATATTTTTGTGTTTGTTTTGTGTGTTTTTGCGCACAGACGCCGTTTTGTAACATAAGACAGTTCTTCCCTCTTTAAACATGAAATCAACGAGTCAACCTCATCGTCATCTTCCTCCTCTCCACCTGCTCCAGGCAGGAGAACCTGTGTGCTAACTACCTAACTCCAGCTCATTTTTAATACCCGTGTGTTAAAAAGCCTCTGTATGCCTTCTTAAATGCGTTTCTGATGTGTTGCTAGTTGAGTGCTGCGCTTCATTCCCCCCCAAAGCTGCGACGGTGAGCGACGACTGTTGCGAGAAATAAAGGTACTAATTTAAGCTGGGGACTCGTTTATGAAATAAAGATTTGTCAATCAAATTTCACGTGTTAAATATCAGCAATGTCAGACTTTGTGTGCAGGTATTTCTGAACAGCAGCACTGAGGTCTGTCAGTTTGATGAAGGAGCCAATTGGTGAAATAAAAATTTTTAATTGTTTGCTGCAGACATGACTGCTGTTTCTCTGTTAGGCTGCCACACTGATGAGGGTTTAAGCACCAAATGTTCAGTTTGTTCTTTAAGGTGTGATTGAAGTAGTTCAGAAGAGGTACAGCAGACTATGTGCTGATCTTACAATAACCATGGACGTTAAATCCTCAACCTGTCATCGGCCTCACAACATTGTGTGAAATGAGCATAAACTCGAGAAGCAAAATAACGTGCAGATTAGAGATATTTTGAACATTCTTCTGTCCAAATCTTCCTCTTACAACACATCCCCTCTAATTCCTTAATGGAGCTACAGAAAACACTGGAAGCTATAATATCATTGACAACCCAACAACTCAATGAATGCAGGCTATAACAAGTAGGGACATTTTTTTAAAGAGTGTAAATGCGCTCCGGTCTGTTTCATCAGGAGATAGTTTATGTATTCTTGAGTTTGAGTTTACTTATTACTTACTGAGGAATTGATGTCACGCTCAATGTAACAGCAGCATAACAAATGACATATTTTGTAAATAAAATTTAGACAATAAGTTCATGAAGGTTGTTGTTTTAGGGTTATGTCCATTTTAAATTAAGAAACACTTGAATTGCAAATGAAACCTTTGCTCACAGTAGAAATCTTTAAACTGTCATTTTAAAACCCAAGTCATTGAGTTTTAAGGCATAATCCGAATGTAAATACAAAGGTCAACCCACCACCATGCACAGCCTGAAGGTCAAAGGGTTCATTGGGGACAGCAGAGGGGTCATGACACGTTCATGACACGTTCATGACACGGGGGGGGGGGGGGGGGGTGCTTCTTGTACTTGTATATTTGTGAGGACCTGTTTTTATACACCATAAGGATATTTCGTCAGTTTCTCAGTCTGGGACGCATATGTAACTTTGCTTTGCTTTATGTACAATGTGATAGGAACTATCTATTAAAAGTGTGAGGAATTAATTGCCAGACTCAAGGTGTTTTGAATTATATACAGCGTTAATCGCTGATTGTGATTGTGATGTCAATTTTAAGTTAGTTTGAAATGTATATGTCACAGGTGCTTAAGTTACAAACAGGCTTCTTAAAACCTGCGTGAGTATAAAGTATAAATATAATTACATTTTTATAAATGAGGCTCCAGATTTTAAAGGCTGCCACATAGCAGCTGAGAGGATCTGTGGGTTAATTATCTATGGTTTTGTCACTGTTAGCGACAGCTTTAATTTTACACATCAATGTTTGGTCCAATGTTGATATTAGAGTCAGCTGGGTTGTATTTCCCAATGTAAGTTGTGGACATAGGTATCAATATAGAAACAAAGGTATCATATTAAGACTTACCCTAAACCCTAAAATTTCAAATAATACAGCCCCAGGAAAGGGTTGGGATTAGCCATGTAGCTGTGATGGTTAGGGGATAAGGAACACATTATTTGAATCAGGGTCCTCACAAGTATAGATGTGCAGTTTTGAGTGTGTGTGTGTTTGTCAATGTAAGACGCTTCCAACAACAAGACGCTGTCCCTGATAATGAGCTTCATTATACGATGATGCAGTGTGTACGTTTGGATCAAACGCATCCTCTCCAATTTGTCAAAAGAGCCAGTGAATGCATCATAGAAATGCCACACAGAAAATGCAGCTTTATATATGATGACATGTTTATTTATATGGATGTGAAACTAAAATAAAGGTGCGTAATATTCATTTTTAACATGTTTATATTTGTTTTAGTCTTTGAGTTAAATTTTCCGTAAAAGCCGAATCGTGTCATAAATCAGATTCAAACTAATGTAGCTGTTATTATTATTATTATTATAACTGCAATACATCTACACACAGTAACAGCTTAACAGATTGTAATATATATTATAAGCTTATAATACATTTGATTTTGTCATAGTATTTTTATATGTTGAAGAGGATGTTGTCACTGTTTCATCTGTAGTTTGTAGAGAAATCTTTGTTTTGAGTTGCCAAAAAATTTCTCCATCCCAACCCCGCATTATTGGTGGGGGTAAAAAAGAAGACGAAAAAAATGAGATAGTGTTTTGATTCATGTTGTCTCAACTGAAAATAGACAACAAGTAGTGCTTCTTTTTCCTATTTATTTAAATAAAGAGCTGTTTCTCCTTCATTGTTTTTCTTCTTTCTTCTTCAACCTTGACACTGGCTCTGATTTTCTTGTTGTTGTTGCTCTGACCTTTGACCTCATTGTGTCACGGCTGTCTGGCGTCCAGGCCGAGTCGATGGGCGATGGCAGCTCATGAAGGCAGAGAAGAGAGGGAGAGTGGTTAAAAGAAAGAGAGAGATGGTGGGGGTTGGAAGGGAGACTTAAAAGGGAGTGGTAGATGGAGTGATGGAGGAGGACTTGAGGCTGGTTTTGAGAAGGTAGTGGGAGACCGTGAGAACAGAGGAAGATGGAGGGCAAAGTAAGGAAGGATGGATGGAGAGGAAAGAGAGAAAGGAGGGAGTCCTGCTGTGAGGGGGGGCAGTGCTCGGAGACTGAAGCCGTTTAATGAAACTGTGATTTATGCGTCCCCTCGTAACCATAAAACATAATATATACCCCCATGGGCGATGGAGGAGTCCCTCCTCCCCCAACACACACACACACACACACACACACAGGAACACACACTTTCCAGTCTACTCTCCAGTGAAAGCTACTGCATCTCTCCACCCCCTCCCCACCTGCACCTCTGCAACCCATCCAGCCGGCCTCCCAGCCCCCGTTCAACCTTTCTACACCACCATCTTTACCCCTTCCCCCACTCCTCTCCTCTGTCTCTCTCTGTCTTTCAGGGAGGATAAAATCATGGCAGCAGCACCTTCCCAACCCCCCAATTCCAATAAAGCCTCCACGTCTTCCTACACTGACAATCTGCTACACACAAAGGACAAAAACATACACACACATGCTGCAATAAAAAAAAAATTGGCAGACTTATTGTCAGCTGCAGGAACAGAAACGATTGATCATACACAGAATAAGTGAGGTGTTTGTCTCCAAACTGGATAAATATAAACAATACATCCAATTTGGCAGCCAGTGTCTGCGCAAAATATAGACAATTTATTCAGTGGCAATGTTATTCTTTGAGAGAGTAATTTATTCTGGGCAAATTTAGAAGAAAAGAGGAAATGTATTTAATCTCTGAGGGGAAATTGATTCATTAACTCAGAAGAAGAAAACAAATAGAGGAATATCTGACACTAATAAATTGGCTCTTTATTGTTTGCAGAGTTCCTGACAAACTGAAAGAATTACACATGAATAAAAATGACATAATGCATTAACATAGCACATATTTATGCAGACACTTCTGCACATTTTTTTGCATGGCTGCTGGTTTAGAGAGCAAAGCAAAGGGACCACAGTGCCTAAAAGCTTCAGAATGTCACACATACTGTATTAATATAATAACTTTATGTAGCACCACAGTACAAAGTGCCTTACAATAAAAAAAACGTATAGCAAAAGCAAATAAGATATAAACATTATCAAATATTTTATATAGAACAAATACCATCACTTATGAAAAGGCCATACAATAAAAGTCTAACCCCCTAACCCAGGAAGGGAGTTCCACATGTGAGGTTCACAGCAACAACCTGATCGCCTTTATTGAGAGGTCAAGAATTTGGAACAATCACTAGCACCCTGCCAGAAGATCTCAAACAGCGATCAGGCTCAGGGAATTAGAACAGATATAGGCAGGAGCCAGACCATTCGTGGCTTATTTTACCAGACTATTCGAGGGCAGTAATAATTGGTATAATGTGGTCGCTTCTTTTAGTACATGTTAAAAGCCTGCCAGCAGCATTTTCTCTCAACTGCAGAGTTTAGCCTCCTGATACCGGAATAAAGTGCATTGCAATAGTTAAGCCTGGAAGAGATAAAAGCTTTCTACGTCTGCACACTGAATGACCTGATCTTGGTTAGGTGTCCTAGTTGAGCAAAGCAGGACTGCACCCCTTAAATCACCTGAGCATCAAAGGACAATTGTTAATCAAAAATAACACCTAGGTTGGGGGCCTCTTTTCAAACCTCATCTTAGATTAGCCAGACAGATTTTATTTATAGATATAATACAGGATGCATCCATGACAGGCTATCAGGACATATAATGAAATAAATAAATTAAAGGAAATGGAAATCAACGTCAAATCTACACATGATTTGCACCAAGCGTATCATGTATATGGTAAACAAGAGGGGACCCAAAATAGATCCTTGGGTTACATCCTCTCCATTACCAGTGTTAATGGGATAAGAATGTGTACAGACGGAGAGAATGAGAGAGAAGCTCAGTGCATCATGGGAAGTGTCCAAGAAGTCTAGGCCTATAGCAGAATAAAAGGTTCAGGGCTCACCTGAGTCAGCCTCGTTCCACGTGAATATCCTGAATGTGATCAAAGTTTAATAGAGTCTGAGCCTTTTAATAACAATAACACTTTACAAAGTCTTTACATGGCTGTACCAGGATGAGGACATTTCTTCGGAAAATTAAATTAATACAAAAATAAAACTGAATAAAATACCCAACATTAAAATAATATAACACATCACAATGTACCTGTGGGTGGGGTAGGAAGCAGAACAGTTTCCAGTGTATTTAATGAAGAAAACACCTCTGACAGACATGTTGTCAGTGTATCAATAACAAATCACTACTGAACATATTGATCGATATAATGATTATCTATCCAGCCCATGTCCTGCTCCGGTCGTAATGTTGTCAGACACTTAACAATCTGAGCCTATCAATGGCAGAAACAAATACTTTTCGAGGACATATTTTGACTGTGCATAATTTTTAAAAAAAGGATTACGTTGCAGCCCGTTTCACTTCTACCAACTGCAGTGCTCTCACACAATATTGGACCTGTTTCAGAAATTATTGTCTCCATTAGTCACAAAAACATTGGAAAATAGGGTTTAAATATACCAAACTTACTCTATGAGGTCCCAAACTTGTATGTGTTTGGATCCTGGAGGGATTACAAAGACAGGATGCCCAACCATGTCTCCTAGAAATTACATTTATCTTAACTCAAGTTCCACTTACTAGCTTTTTCCAGGACTTTCAACTGGAAGATTGTTTTAGTCAAACTACTGTTTCCAAGGTAAAGAATGAACAGTTGTGTATTTCAAATATACCACCCTTTTAAACAAAAAACATTTATTTATTATTTATTTATTTAAAGTTATAAATCAACAATAACCTCTATGAACAGTTTCAATCTGGTTTTCGGCCTCTCCACAGCACAGAAACAGCCCTAATCAAGGTCACCAATGACCTACTAATGGCTGCTGATTCTGGTCTTCTGACCATACTGCCTTTGATACCATCTCTCACAATATCGTCCTGGACCATCTAGCTTCCATTGGTATCATCAGCACATCCCTGAACTGGTTCACATAATACCTGTCTGGCCGCACTCAGTTTATACAACTTAAAAATGTTCAATCATAACCCTCCCCAGTCACCAGTGGTGTTCCCCAGGGATCAGTCCTGGGGCCCCTCCTTTTTATAATTTATTTACTTCCCCTTGGTTCTATTCTCAGGAGATATAATATCCAATTTCACTGCTATGCTGATGACACCCTGCCCTACTTGTCCACCAAACCTACATCTTTGCTCACTCTGTCCTCTCTAACTGCTCAGTTAAAACCTGGTTCACTCAAAACTTCCCCAAACTTAACAGTGATAAAACTGATATTCTCCTTGTTGGCTCCAAATCCACCCTAG